GACAACTATTGAAGTGGTGTATATGGGGCATCTTATGAAATATGAAACACATAAATATGAATATGTCAATACTGAAGCGATCTTGATAAATTTAGAACATAAGCTATTTAAACATGCATCTACAATATCCGGAATATAAAACTCCACCAAGACAACCCCATGGGGGTCGCTAATGGGTGTGGTCGAGGCGTAGAAATACTTTCGAAGATGTCCCAACTGGATCGGATATTGTTGACGCATACATTACTACTTTATATTCAAAGTTTTATCAAGATCGCTTCATTATTGACAAAAGCGCTGCATGGCGAAAGAACGTTGTAAATATTTGTAAGCAGCGCTTTTGCAGCGCTTTTCCTAATTATGGGGCGATTTGGATGAAATTTTGAAAACAAGCTAATGAAATATGTACCCACATTATGTACTATCTCAAATTCAGTCAATTGTACCAAGAAGCACACCCCTGGGGCCAACCCCCCAGACAAATCCCTGTATAGTACTTGATTCGTAAAAATTGAATATAGTTCTAAGCTCTTATAGAAAATGTCTGTAGCAATATTTTATGTAGCGTAAAACCAAAATAATTCATTCACCCAATAATAATATTTTATGATTGCAACATAGTGTTTTAGGATCATTCATTACAAAGTTAAGGGATTTACAACACATTTTTCCGAAAATAAAGTCTGGTACACATTATAATAAATTTGAAAATTTGCGATATTTTTGCACTGTTCAATGCAATTTTTCATAAAAACTGCATATTTTCTATATGTTGGCCATTTATTTGAGGAAATTATGTCAAATTCTGCACCTTAAATCCCGTATTGAACAATATTTAATATGAAATTATCCAAATTAAAAATTAATTACCCTTCTGACAGATTTTAATCAATATTCTAACAATTTAATGGGCAAATTTAAAATTTAATTACTTTGAGTCATATTTGCTCATAGGTGAGAAATTTGGCTCAATTCCCCCCTCATACCTCAAAAAATCGATAATGAATCCTGTAGCTTGCAACCATTGTGCCAAATTACATGAAAACAACGCAAATCAAAAAATGTAAACTGTAAACATTTTTCCAGATTTTTTGTGAACTTTTTACCAGAATTTATTTTTTGACAAAAATGCATTAAAAAGCAATCACGTTTGTAATTAATACTACCGATGAAAATTGCAGTAAAACTAAAACCTATAATTACAAAATGAATGGATTGTTTACTTTGCAAGTCGCATAAAATTATAATTATGCTGCAAAGATGAAACACTAGCCTGACTTATCTAACAAATGCAACCAAAACTTCCCGTGAACTATTTTTCTATTATTTCTTTAAAATATTGACTGGAGGATGATGGGTCAGTATCGGATGAATGGCGGCATACGGACGTCTCAAATTGATAGTATGGAATGAGATTGCCGTTCGTACCCATTGGAGGATCTGATAAACGGATTACATGCAAGATTAAACAGCTCTTCCCTATCGACGTTGTGGACCGAGACAACGTCATCAAAAGAATCAGACGTGCAGTTCTCTCCTCAGATATCGTTCAAGAACAAGCGATGGAGGATGATGATGAAGAAGTGGTTATTATTGGGAGGAAACTCGACACGTCACACATTCCTATCAATCTCGAGGAGGACGGCGATAGCCCAGTTATTGTTCCCCCACCAATAGATGGGTAATCTAACAAACGACGAAAAGAAACAAAGGTGTCAATTAACAATAAATTTAATATATGCATAGCATATGTGAATATGCTCAAGTGGGGCCCGGCGAAGCAGAGTATGCATTCGTACATGGTTCAAAAACTCCCACAAGGTTTGAGCCAAAACGATGCATCTAATCGAAAAATGGCAAGAGGCAAAATAGTTACAGCATTCTCTAACTTAATTTCCTTCTTCTTCAAAGAATGAAATCCGCTTTTGAAATAATTGTACCCCCACTTTCTCCCTAAAATAACTGCCATCGTCAAAATGTGGCCTCGCTGGAATATGCACACAAAAATCAAGCATATCATCAGCTTTGTATACACAAAATTGTGGCTGGGCCACATTGTGACGATGGTCATTTTTTTTGCCCAGACCCACACCCACTTTTGCATAGTTTTATGGAATTTCCAGCATTTTTTTTAATGCGTCCTTTTCGTATCCAAGGATGACAAATTCGGAATATTTTTGATAACAACTAGTAGTTGTTATCAGAAATTATAGTTATGTTACCTTGCAGGATGCGCATGTGGGAAAATTGGATGATGTAACCATACAATAATAACATTCATAAATTAACTAGATTCAGTATATTAATAATTTTCATGCTTTAAAATCATTAAACGGAACAAATAGATGTTATTAAATATATTTAGAAAACGTTTTTCTAAAAATAACGTCAAACTTCTGTGGACCTCATGTACTTATAGTATTCGCGTAGATAAGTAGATCATTTATTAAATAACCTGTATCATATACCGGCCGTACTTTTTAGACATTCCACAGGCCGGACCAACCCTAGGATAGGCGCTGACAACTACTTTTTAATCCGAGTCAGGGCTTATGTAACGTCATGTCCGTCCGTCTGTCTATCCGTCTAACGATAACTAACTGAACTTATCCAATCTGGTTGAAATTTTCACCACATGTTTATATAATAAAAGTACGAGTCACGTTCGAAGATGAGGCAAATCGCTCCAGTGGTTGACCGGTGGGGGTCATATGTATAGATGATGGGGGTGCACCAAAACTTCAAAATGGTCGTACGACCATTTTGAAGTTTTGGTGTAGAAAGCTGAAATTTGGTACATAAGTCATTGATGGCTTCTAATGAAAGAAATATGTATGTGGAGTGAAATTTGGAAAATTTTCACCCCTAGGTACCCTATGGGGTGACCCTCACCGATTTTCAAATATTGTCCAAGAACATTGAAATTTGGCATATAGGCCTCTGATGGCTTCTAATGCAAGAATATGAAGAGAAATTGAAAAAATTTCCCCCGGAGATACCCCATTAGGTCAACCATGCTAATTTTTTTTAGATCCTCCAATCCAGCTTATATTTGGTTTAGAGATTGCTAATGACTTGCAGATAAATACAGTAAAGTCAAATTTAAAACAAAATCAATCCCAGTTGTCTAGTTTGTGATCCTTACCGATTATGAGAATTTGTTACAAGGCGATTTTTTTACATACTCGTCAAATGGCTTCTTATGAAGAAATAAGAAGTTTAATTTGCAAATATCTCATTTAAGAAAACCTCTTAGTACTGTTTTGTGTAGCCCGAACCAAGGAATTTGTCACTTATTTTCTGACTTCTGGGGGAACATTTTAAAATCAGTGGGGGCGCCATATAGGGTAACGTGAAGGAATATCTTAACTCCGAATGAAGATTTACATTTTCACTTTACATTCTTTCATTAGTAGCCAGCCATCAAAGACGTATGTCAGTCAGGGGAACAACGCTTAATTCGGCGCAAGAGGAGCCTTATTAAGCCGATCAATTGCGATTTATAAAGCCGCTGCGCTTGATTAAGCTCCCCAACGGCTTAATAAAGCTCCTCTTGCGTCCTCTCCTCCTCTTACAAAATTTGAAAATCGGTATGGGTCACCACACCCGGGTGAAATTCAAAAGTTATCTAAAGACAGACGGACAGGCAACACGGGTACGTAATCCCTTTGTTCGGGCTAAAAATGTAACTTTTAACAGTAATCTAATGCAAAATGACTGGTCGACAAAATACACGCCCTGACTCGGGCTATCTAGACACTGCACACTGTAGGTTTTGTTTTTTCTTAGGTGAGGCAAAGCCGGAAAGCTGGGCCCCCGTCTCAAAAAGCATATGTGAATATGCTCAAGTGGGGCCCTGCGAGGCATAAGATATGCATTCAGCGTGGGTGTTGAAAAAGTCGCACAAGGTTTCAGCCAAAACGATGCATCGAATCGAAAAATGACAAGAGGCAAAATCTTTACATAATTCCATTCCCCAGTGTCATCTTTTTTCAAATTTTGAAATTTCGAAATTTTTCATGGAGAAATTGGTGTTTGAACCACCCCCATAACTAAATACACTGCATATATTCAGTGCCCATTTATAGACAAGATAAGATAAGGACAAACTAATCTCAACGGGGCTGCCATAGCCCAATGGTATGACGTCACGCCTCCCAACAGGCGGTCGTGAGTTCGATCCTAACTGGGGTCGTATTTTTTTGCAAATTTTTGCTAATTCTAATGTCATTCTATTTACACGGGAAACTTTTTTGATGCATCAACTAATAATGTCACGCCCCCTGAAGAGGTGTGGTCACTGGTGGGAATTACCTAATGCATGTTATAAATATTTTTATTCTAATTTTGGGGTCAGGAGTCTATACAAATTTGATTCATGTTTAGAAAGGAAACATGTTAGCAATAAATAAATTTTATGTGACCAGTTGTCATTGACCACACCCATAGGGGGAGGAGTTCCATATATTGAAAGTAGTGGAAATCTTATTAGTTTCGCTCATTTCCGAAGTTGGCATATGTAGTACATATTATGAACACTGAGCTTAGAACGTCAATATTTATCCCTATATTGGTGTTACCATTTATTCATGGGGTGTGCCCAGGCACACCCCTCTAGGGGCAAGTTGAGATTATTTAAAGAAACGGTGCCAAATATTCAATTAACTAATTTAAGCTAGTTTGTGGGTACATCCCCATGCATCCAAACCCCCAAATGTAGCAAAATGAAACTCAACCGCAAAAATGCTTATGTATGCTTAGGTAAGTATGTATGCTTAGTAAATCCTTTCTTCACCGTTTACGTAGTTCAACCTGTTGCAGGTACTCTCTGAAAATTTGTAGGTTCTGCACGGCACGTTGCCCTCTACCCTTTCTAAGAATTTATGGTGGACTCTGAACTCAATGTTATTAATAAGAAAGGTAAAAAAATAAAAGGAAAGGTCGCGATGGTTTTCATCAGGTGTACTTTACTTTGAGATGATCAGTTCGGCATACGATTCAGAGCCTTTCAGTTCTCATCGTGAACGTGTGAATTTAAAATTAAAAAAAAATAGCTATGAGTTTCGCTGACCGGTTTCAATAGATTGAGGCAAATTGTTATTTAAAATTCTAAACTTCTAAATAGTTGCTAAATTTACAATTTCGCACGTATTACCACTTAAATATCATACATTTCATACGACAATGCTGACAAGAAGGAAGACCAGGCAGGGGTTAAATGGGCAAAGGGAAAGGTCACCCACCACAGGTAATCTTAAAGCAGAAATTGCATTAAAATATGTCAATCTAATAATTAATGCAAAATAATTTAAACAACGATGGAAATAATTCCAATTCCAATTTTAAAATCTGACCATATTTTAATTTTTGCTTCAATTTTTAGCGGATGATACAGATTGCGAGGCAATGTTGAAAGCCATGATGAATCCCATCGTAAATATTTAGTTTCTCAAATTCTAAAGTGTCTAAGATTTTGCTGAAGTCACTCAATTTCCATCTGCTGTGTTACATAGGTTCTGGACAGGGTTTTTTCTTCCTTATCCATTCCCGACTTGAAATCAGCCCGGCTAGTTTGTCAAACATGGAATACGCAGGGTGGTGCTCGCGCCGTAAGGAAAAATACGTTTCTCAACCTCAAGAAAACCTGGCCCTGCTGTAACCTTTTCCGTCCCAGGCCTCCACCATTTCACCCCAATCTTGCCAAAAGGATAAAAATTACTGACAAATGTTCCTGCCCCCAAAAGGCCATCAAAACATCAAAACAAATTGGACATCAAAACAAATTGGACAAAGCTTTTTTCAGGAACCTTCCTACATTTGTTGCACTAATTCATGGCAGTGTGGAAGAAATGATACTTTTCGCTAGCCACCACTTCCTCGCCGAACTCCCCAGGATGATGTACAGCCATAAATTTTCAAACCTAAAATACCTCTGCATCACGCCGACTCATTCAAGTGGGAATAATGTCACTGTACTCGATCTTCAAAATAAGATCCTGCTGCCTTCTTTGATATCATTCACGGTCAATATTAAATGCCGTTTTGCCGACTCACGACTTCCTATTCAACAATTTGTACTCGACATGGCGCCAAATTTGGAAACGGTGATTTTACCGATAGGAGAACGCCCAAGTTTTAAGAAGTGTCCAAAGGTGAAAATCCTCCATTACGATCATAAGGGCGACATGGACCAGATGGAGAGAGCTGTCGAGTATGTCGACATTGACGAAATTGTCGCAATGTTGGAACCTATAAAAAATTCTCTGATAAATTTGAAACTTTGGGTGGGAAGTGGCACGAAAAGGGACGACCAAAATGTGGTAAGACTGGTATTTATGCATTGTAAGGTTAAATATTTAAATTTAAAATTTCACTAAATTAAAATTATGCTCCTAATTTTCAGTACAACCTCCCCCAGCTGCCAAATTTGACCTCGCTCAGCCTCCACTGTTACCAGGATAAAAGCCCCATCCATGGCTTCCTACGGCCAGAGATATGCCCAAACCTGAAACATATTTCTTTAAGGATGACCGACGTTGGGGATACGTTGCCAGCGAGCATTGGGACATTTTGGCAAAATCAGATGAAAAATATCGAATCTCTTGATTTGAAATACTTACACCGCTCGGGTTACTGGAATATTTCGAAAATTGTGGAAATATTTCCATCTGTCAAGAAATTCAACTTGGAGTTAAAAATGCGTGTGCTTGTATTTGACAGTGACGAAGACATATCGACACATGGCGGGGCTCAGGGGGTGTGGAAAAGTCGTTTACGGGAAGAATTAAAAGCTCTACAGGTTTGGAAGTTGGATCCCGCAAATGTCAAGATCTTCGTTGTGAGGGATGTTAACCATGTTAAAGCAGTCCTTGAAGGGATGTCAGCTTGGAGCGGTAATTATTATTTTAATCAATTCACTTATATATTTACCCAATTCTGTCTGTCTGTCTGTCTGTCTGTCATTCTGTAACGCTCTATCCCTTCTATGTATTATTCTCAGCCTATCTTACAATGAATTACTGAGAAGCCAGATCAGCAGATTCAGTATTCAGAATTCAGCATGCAGTATTCAGTATTCAGAATTCAGAATTCAGTACTCAGAATTCAGTATTCAGAATTCAGTATTCAGAATTCAGTATTCAAAATTCAGTATTCAGTATTCAGTATTCAGAATTCAGTATTCAGAATTCAGTATTCAGCATTAAGAATTAAGAATTCAGTATTCAATACTGAATACCGAATACTGAATTTCAGTTTTAGTATTCAATACTGAATACTGAATTCTGATATTGTCAGCTATTCAGATATTCAAATATTAACTTATATATTTACCCAGTTCTGGCCGTCTGTCCGTCTGTGGGAACGCATCCCGTCAATGCTTTATTTAACACTACAGGGATAGCAGCGGGGAGCACTCACATACTACGTAGCTAAACTGCCGTACCCTGGACATTCGCTTACCACCAATACCAAAATATGGTTTCATGTTATTTGACGGGAAGGGCATGACATACACTCGCACCCTTGACATACACTCGCCACGAACGTTGTTTTAACGTATTTGATTTTCATATTAGAAATTACCGTGGTGCCACGAGCACCACAAAACTTCTAGTAATTTAATAGTTACATAAATCAGCGATAATTGCCTTACACTGATAAATATTTGTCATTTAATTTTCATAGGGAAAAAGACAGTCGCCTTCAACCGCAACTTTTCCAACTATGACAGTGATCCTGTTGAAAAAACTTTCACAATGACTGATGCATACTCATTCTCTGAGTGTTTCGAAAGAGTAGAATTCCGTGGATTTGATGTAAGTTTTTATTAATTATGATTTTTATTTACTATAATAATCTACTGAGGTTGTTAATGTTTTTATGGGAATACAGACTTGCTATGACCCGCGGGGTGATGCAATGATGAAAGCGTTCGCTGAGGGTCGTCCTCGTGACAAGAATCTCGTGGTTGATAGAAAGGAAAGTTTGTAAAATGTCATTTTTATATTTAATGAACTTGTTTGACGTAACTCACGTAACATATATATTTCATTTTCTTTACATAGTTTTACTACGTATTTATTTAGTCTGAAATATACATAAGATAATTATTTTGTGTAATAATTTCACAAACAAGTTTATATTCGTGGTTTTTGATATTTTAAACATATTAATTCAGTTAGTGAGGGCGCATTTGAATTGATATGCATTAAATGAATAATCCATTATCAAGATTTTATCATTAATTCATGTATGGCGTATTCATTCTGGATTAATTAATCCTGATCAATTCAAAGATTTTTGTGAAAAAATATTCTTGATCTTGCCATTCAATTTGTATACATTACACTCTGAACAATTTATACTATGCAAACAATCCTTGGAGCAATTTCCACTGATACTTGACCAAATTTTTATTATTTCTGGCCAATATCCTAAAATTCGTAATAAATTCACATATATGGGCTTCTAGAGCAAAAACTGCATATTTTATTTGCAAATTTTATTAACAATTCGTAATCTCATGAAAATTACGCAACTTTTGAAATATCATACATCGAAATCGTTGGAACTCGAAAAATACGTTATGATTGTACGCCTGTACTAATAAAGTATGTATCATAATATGTATGGGATCCCGCAAGCTTGTAATAAATATGTATTTGTAATGCCAAAATGTTTTTTCTATTTAAATTTTTATAGTTTTTCAAAAATTTCAAATGGAATCATTTTTCCACTTTCCCAGTCAAAACCCCAAAATTTAATAAGCTGGACAAGAAAACTTTAGTAACTAATTATACTTTCAGCAATCAATTGATAAGGTTGATTTTTATAAAAAAACGAATAATTATTAACATGTAGATATGATAACGAATGAGAAGTCGATTTCATTATAACTTGAATTGTAGAATCTAACCAAATTGAGTAAATACTTACCATGCGTGGTCCCCAACGGTCTCGCACCGATTTCAACGAAACCTATCTTATTTGATAGATCAACTAATATGAACAAAAGTTGTTATAAGTACACATCTTGAATGCGCAGAAGTATTGGAGATACAGCGTGTCAAAGGTCAAAAAATTGCCAGGCCGCCGGAGCGAAAGGGCCAGCGAACTCCGCTCACTCACCCCAATTCCTCGCTTTTGCATCGAATCTCGCTGAAAATTTCGTTCTTATTTATTTTCATGCAATTCAGGATTTTAACCAGGGTTTCGGAGTGGGAAATACCACTGGGAAGTGGGTATGGGAAATATGGGAAATTTCCCACTTCCCACTTCCCGTCCTAGTGGGAAGTGGGAAATTTGGAAAAATTTGTAATCTGACTTCATATTAGTGATCTCCACAAAGTTCTGAGCATTTTGGTATGTCATACGACCACTTTTGCTTTGTAAATCTCAGATTTATCATTTTCTCATAAGAATGCATGTTAATTTGAAAGATTAATGGATTTTAACCGTATTACCCACTTATTTTCTCAGAATCTCATCGAGAATATGATTATGAAGTTAGATTTTCGAAATATTAGCTTTTAAAAAAGTTGTTCCAAGTCACCCCAAAACAATACCCCTAACTTCCCACTTGTTTCCCATTTCCCACTTCCCACTTCCCACCTATTTCCCAGTGGGATGGGAAATATGCCAGGGAAGTGGGAATTGCGAAACCCTGATTTTAACTATTTTTTATTTTTTGCGGATTTGTTAATTTCTCTATTAAAACATTGTTAAACGTCAAGTTTAACAATTTTTCTCATCTATAATGCAATAAATTAATTTGTAATCAGTAGCAAGATCGTAAAAGTTTATTACGAATAAAGATGAAAAATTTAAATTGTTAAACGTTAACAAATCCACAAAAATTAAAAAATAGTCAAATTCCTGCATTTCATAAAATTCAATAAGAACGAAATTTTCAGCGAGATTCGATGCAAAAAAAAGCGAGGAATTGCGGTGAGCGAGCGGAGTTCGCTGGCCCTCTCGCTATGGCGGCCGTGCAATTTTTTGACCTTTGACACGCTGTATCTCCAATACTTCTGCGCATTCAAGATGGGTACTTATGGCAACTTTTGTTCATATTAGTTGATCTATCAAATGAGATAGGTTTCGTTGAAATCGGTGCGAGACCGTTGGGGACCACGCATTGTTAGTTAATTCCATGCTCCCATCTTTGTTTTATCATAATGATTCAGTCATTTAGATAATCGGATAAAATGTGTGATGGAATCTCGAACTCAGATCCTTATGCCCTTCGCATATGTTGTAGCCCTAAACGAGTGTAGCATAACCCTAAAGCAGTTTGATGCCATAGCCCCATTTGCGCCCGCCACACCCCTTCCCTCTCTCACTTTCTTACATTTTGTCTTAGACTGTAAAACATCTCGCTATCATATATTTTTTACTGACATTTCTACATACAAATCGATATTATATTCAGTATTTAGGAAAGCTTCTTTATTTCCTTTGTAACTCTTCAGACTTGCCACGACGCATTCTCCTTTTAAAGATTTTATCATCTAATTTGATTTTTTATTATGCCGAAATCCTAGTAACAATTAGCAGGATATAAAATGTTAAACAATTATATGCCCCTATTTCTAACTTGTTTTTGTATTAGTAATTCTTGTTAGTAACCTCTTAGTACAGCTTTGCATAGCCCGAACCAAGGAAGTTGTCCGGTTATATGCCGTTTAATTCTTGAACTAAACAATCATTGTCCGATTAAGTAGTAGGCATCAATTTCAGATTAATACAACAAATTTTAAAAATCAGTATGAGTCAACCCAATAGTCACTGCGGTTGAAAAATTTACAAACTTTACATCATATTTTTTCATGGCATGTCAATATCAATCCTCAAACCGAATTTTAACTCAATTGGAGGGTTATGAAAAATCAGTATGGGTTACCCAACAGGGTGTATCAATGTGAAAAATTTTTTAATTTCTCTTTATATTCCTTCATTGGAAGTCATTAGAAGCCTCTGTGTCAAATTCCAGCCTTCTAGGACAATATTTGAAAATCGGTGGGGGTCACCCCATAGGGTACCTCTAGCTGAATTTTTTTCCAATTTCACTTCATATTCTATGATTTGAAGCCATCAGGGCCTTGTATGATAAATTTCAAGCTTATTGGACAATATTTCAAAATCGGTGGGGGTCACCCTATAGGGTCCCTTCAGCTGAAAATTTTCAAAATTTTAGTTCGTATTCTTTTATTAGATGCCATTAATGACCAATGTACCAAATTTCAGCTTTCTACCTTCATTTTGAAATTTTGGTGCATAATACCCCCACCACCTATATGACCCCCACCGGTCAACCACTCAACCGGTTTTGCTCATCTTCGAACTCATCCAAGGCCTTGTCCCAACGGTCATTTTAAGACAATGTTGGTCAAAATCGGTTTAGGGGTTCGTCCGCTAGCGTGTCACAGACAGACAGACGGACGGACGGACGGACGGACACGACGGGTACATAAGCCCTTGGTTCGGGCTAAAAATATAAATAATTCCGTTTGGTTAAGCTGATCATTATCATCGCTTAAACCTAGAAGATGTTGAAACCATCGAAATATTTATTAATTTTCCGTATTCTTTATAACTATTTAAATAATGCATTCTCCTTAAATAAATATTATACTTCATGATTCCAAATAACAGGCTTTCTAAAGGAAATAAAAATAACTTTGGCACATATTTACATATGTGTTCCTACAAATCGTCAAATACAAGTTTATTTATTTATCTGCCTTTCTTAACTTATTATGTAATATATTATGTCATACTTTACCAGCATATGTGGTTAAGTTTTACTTAAAGCCATATATGTACATATATCAGCCTTCTCATTAAAATTTCATCAAACATGCCAACTTGCGGACACTATAGAACAAAAATAATACTTATCTAAATATACGCTTACAAGGGGAAGGGCCAAGTGAATTTTCTAAAAATATTTGCTAGCGTAACTTGGACCAAGTCACGCTAGTACAAATATATTTTTGGAAAACAAACTAACCATTTACAACGGCATATATTCTAGCAAAGTGGTGTTAACGCTTACAGGTCCTAGGTAATTTGACACATAAATGTTTTCAAAACTGAAAATTTATTATTTGTATGCCAAGTGGAGCCGGCAAGTCAGTTATGGATAAATTCACTCAAATTTACAAATACAAAGCTTTAAAATCTTTCAGCGGACATAAATACGATTCTTTACAATTTATGTAAACTGCGATTTTTCCTGCGAATTAGCATGATGTACATCATTTCCAGATTTTTGTTGATGTCCTCATTACTGTCGTTGATAAATCCCTCTTGTCAAATTTCGAACAAAAATTCTGACTAAGTTATTATTCCTTCAGATTTACTCCACCACGTTAACAATGCCGATGTCCAAGTCCTTCATGATGGCATTTCTTCAAATTACTTTTCATTCCTTAAAAGAACAAATCTCCCAACCACAGTAGTATTTATGCCAGCCTTAAACAATATCTATATCCATTTATATCACGAAGCTAGCATTAGCCAAATACCGTATGCGCTCAATATTTTCGCAGGTCGGCCTGGACAAAACAAAATTATCCTCTGGGTATCGAACATTCTACTTTGTGAGCCAAATCCTAGAGCAAATCACACTAATTCTTATAGTTACTGGATAACTGTTTCCATTTTCCGCCATTACATCTTTCCATGTACACATTCGGAAGTCTTTGTTGGAAAAAAATGCTGGAAGTTTTTAACATCAACGAAACGAGTATACTCCATTATACTCTCCAAGTTGAAAATAGAAGACACATTAAAGGAATTTCTGCCCCAATTTAATGATGAATCCGAAAACATATTCATTGCGATAGTTCCTTCCACAAAGAATTCGGATTTTACAATGTGCGTCAAGAAACAGTCAGGTATTTTAACAATGGAAAATCTTATGTGCACAATTAAACATGATTTTTTCAAAGACAATCAAACTTTGACGCCGTCACCTTTAAACTTGGTGGCATATTATAATGTGGAAAATCAGAAAAGGATCACAAAACTTGAACTAGCACATTTGTGGAATCCATTCGCTATACAATACGCCCATGACATACCAGTTTACATGGCTGAGGTACTTACGTCCAGCACAAATGCCACGCTAACCATGACAGATGTGATTAGTAATATCAATATATTTATTGAGGTATCTGCTTCCAATCTGGAAATTTCGAACGCACTTCTGGAGTTGACTTCTACTTCTAGTTTTCAATTCCTTACCTGTTATACTAATCCATATATGACTTTCTATTTTTACAAGACCCCATTTAAACCTGAGCTTTGGCTTTGTTTAATTATAAGTGTAAGCTTGACTTGCGTAATTATGTCAGTGTACACGTACTATACTCGCAAATCACTTTCGTTTTCTGTTTGGTTATCATTAATTTCTCAATTGTTCGAAGACTGTGTACCAATTCCAAAATTTGTTGA